CTTTGTAAAAGCAGTGAACCACGCACTGGACAGTGGATATGGTCCTCATCCACAATCCAAATTATTCGAGGGTGGAAATCTATTTTCTTGGTTCAAAGCTGACGTCCCATCAACACATGAGGGCTTTGAAGTTCCACCGAAAGTTACTAAGCTAGCCTCCCAGAGGCTGGCCTTCCCTTTGTCTTTAATGCATGCTAACAGCTATGCGTCAAAACGTCTCGTTCTTGTTGGTGATGCAGCACATACGGTTCATCCACTGGCTGGCCAGGGAGTTAATATGGGATTTGCAGATGCTCTGTCTCTTTCTAAAGTCATTGCTGAAGGTGTTGCTGTCGGATTTGACATTGGGGAGGTATGTCCATAATCCTTCCTTTCTCTCTAAATATTAATAGCAAAAGTAAATGGCTTAAGTTTTCCTTTCTTCTGGTATAGTCTAGAATCACTTAGAAGATTAAATTTTCTTTTCCTTCAATTTGCTCACCGAGTGTTGGCCGGTTAAGAACTCACATATCCAGAAGATGAAAGTAGCGGAGATGAGAATGTTGAGGTGGATGTGCGGACATACTAAGATGGATAAGATTAGGAATGAAGCTATTCGAGAGAAGGTGGGCGTAGCCCCCGTGGAGGACAAGATGAGGGAAGCAAGACTCAGATGGTTCGGGCACATTCAGAGGAGGAGCACTGATGCTCCGGTGAGGAGATGTGAGCGACTAGCTGTGGTGGGCACGAGGAGAGGTATAGGACGACCCAAGAAGTATTGAGGAGAGGTGATCAGGCAGGACATGACACGATTTACTGAGGACATGACCATTGACAGGGAATTGTGGAGGTCGAGCATTAAAGTTGTAGGTTAGGAGGTAGTTGTGAATATTTCTTCGGCGCATCAGAGTGAGACTTGCCAGTAGGTTTTAGTTTTAGGATGTTAGTGGTTTCTACTGATGCCGGTCTTTACCTACTGGTTATTGTGTACTTTCCATCTATTTCGTGTTTTATTTTTATTGCTGTTATTTTATTATGATTCTATTGATAGTACTTTTTTTTTTGTTGGCAATCCGCTAGGCAAGTGCCCAGGGCTAGTTTTTTATTAATAAAAGAAAAGAAAAATACAACAATTAGGAAGAGTACAAATAAGGGGTACAATAGCACCTGTATTGTTACCCATATGCCTTGGCTATATAATCACTCCTCTGCGCCTCACAATGCCTTATGATGACAGCGTCATGTAGAGGATTCATGGGGTAGTTGCTGGCAAAGTCTGACAAGGGCGTATAATCTCATAGCCGTGTGGATATTTTCCAAAGGCATAGGACCAAGACAACACTAACCGGGCTAAACCTTACCTTACTAATCCTATTGAGGCAAAGAAAAAGCCTCACCTANACAATTTGAATTTGCTGCTCAGCTGTTGCATTCAACTGTTGCTGCTGTTGTCCAGTCTGATTTATTACTGGAAGAGTACCAGTTGTACTACTCGACATGGTCTGTTGCTGCCCAGGCGGATTAGCTGTTGTAAATTCTTGCAACCTTGTTCCATTTGTCTTCACACCGTTGTGGTGATCGCTTTCTTTCCTTGTTTTGGATATATCCTCACCCTCCATACGTTCAACATTGTCATGTTCATCTCCAGTATCCCTTGAATTCTTCCCCTGCCCTTGAACTCTATTGACACTTTGTTCTTGTCCATCTTGCTCCTGATCCTCGACTGGACCTTCTTCTTCACTTTCAAACCCAAACTCTCCTTCATCTGACTCTTCCTCAGTTTGAGCACACCATACTTTTCTAGTACCCAGCTTTATTCTCTCATCAGATTTGTTCAGCTCGCCTGTTGCATTAGTATCAACTGTTTGCGACGGGATTTCTTGACACGATTGATTGGTAGTAACACGTTGTCCAAAATTCTTGTTAACCCACTTTGATGTGGATTCCTTATGTAGAGCTGCCTCATTCCTCACACTGCCTTTATTACCTTCTTGTGATATCCCATTCCCAGCAGTTGTTGGATTGAACCTTGGAGCTGCTGGATTTAGTGTTTTACCAGTACGAACAGAACTAGGCCTTGGACTTCGATCATTACCTTCTGCAATTAGCATCAACTTATTATTATCCAGCTTATCTCCCCCCTTAGTCTGATCCACACTAGCCATATCATTAATATGAGTTTGCCTTTGCAGCATATTAGCATCCTCATGTCCCTCTTCCTGAAGTTCCAACAATGCAAATTTGTTTCCCAGCTGCACCTGCTGCCTTTCATCTTGATTAACTGGGACTATTTCTTTTCCAGTAGTTTCTTGATCATTCTTATTAGTGCGATTATCTCGCACCTCTTTCCATTGTTCCTTTCCATTGCCATTCACGTTACCCACAACTTTGCCACTCGACAAAATTAGCAGAGGTCCATTTTGGTTCGAAACAGTAGCCAAATTACCCTGTTTCTCAGAAACAAAGTCCTTATTGGCTTGAACCACAGGTTCATCAGTACCCTGTTTCTCGTCTGATTTGTGTTCCATTAAATTTGGATATAGCCTCCGGCACTCTATCATATCATGGCCCTGCAATTTGCATTCCTTGCAATATTTTGGCACGAAGTCATACTTGATTTTCACCCATTCAGTTCTCGCAACTCCAGTAGCCTCATTCTCAATGTCCATACGCACTCTCTTCGGCAAATCTGCTTGTAGGTCAACAAGTACCTTCACTCTAGCACAACTAGGCCTTGTTTTGTTTATGGTTGCCAAATCCAATTGTTGTGGTTTTCCAATAGCCGAGGCTAGAGAAAACAAACATTCTTTCACAAAGTACGTGGGCAGTAAATGTGGAAATGAAATCCATGCCATCGCCATAGGTGTTTCTTCTCCAACTTTGAAATTTTTATCATAAATGAGCTGTCTCATTTGGTATTCATAACCATCTTTTGCCTTAATATAGTAGGTGCTTTTTGACGTGATTTTCTGAAAATCCTCCCTCAAAGTTAGACGAATCAGTACATGTTTGTCTCTCAAAAATCCGATATTACAATCACCTTTAATACCACATTGTACAGGGATTAATCGACGCAATTCTTGGAGATCTGGCCATCCGTAAGAGAACTTACCTAGCACAGCATACTGTAGACCTTCAATAATATTCATTCTATCCACCTCTGATTCTGTAAACTTGACAAAAGGTTGTCCATGTAAGAAAGTAGCTGGTTTGAAAGGAATTGGCTCTAAGCAAAATGCTTGTTATTGAAAAGATTGAGAAAAAGGCCAACTAATTGGGAAAAGCTATTCAGCAATAAAAAAGACACTTGTAAAGTAAAGCATGTGCTATTGATTTTCATCTATAATAGTGGTAGCAAAATGGTCAAAAGGAAACGGTTACCTACCCATATTATCCATTGGATAATGAACTATTTAAAAACCAGTCAACTATGGATAAGAACCATATTATCTACTTAGAAAAGGGATAACCAATGGATAACTAATGGGTTTAACTTTTACATTTGTAAAACCTCAAATTGGTGGTTCCTCAAGTTTGGGAGACTAAGAATTCTCCCAAAAGTGATCATATTCCAGAAGCCATGGATAATATAGATATCTTATCCGCTGGATAACCCGTTTTTTATCCGTATTAAATATTGGTCGGATCGGATAATTTATCCGTTTTTGCATTACCCGTTTGACCAGCCCTATCCAACCCGCCCGCCTGGCTGTTTGCCACCGCTAAATTCTACAATTGTATATCAGTGTTTGCTATAAAAGTTGTGTCACTTGTAATGCAAGTATTATTGGCCTTTACGTTCTTTGGGCATCATTTTCCATATTGCTCGCTTTTTAATTTTTTCTCCATTGCATGATTGCTTTAATACTAGTCTTGATCTGCGCAGGTGACTCTTTTAAAGAAATATGAATCAGAGAGAAGAACTGCAAACATTACAATGATGGCAGTCCTAGATGGTTTTCAGAAGGCATATTCTGTTGATTTCATGCCAATAAATGTTCTAAGGGCTCTTGCATTCAATGGAGCACAATATATCTCGCCACTTAAACGGAAGATCATTTCATATGCTTCAGGCAACCAGTCTCTTCCTTTTTTCACATGATGTAACTGTTAGATTTTGCCTATGATATCTGGTGGGCATGTCATAAAACTTTTGTTCTTTTACATGTATAAATAAATTCAATAAGGTCTGAAGTGTTTAACAGTGAGTTTTTTTTTCTCCCCATATTCTTGGGGTTTTACTGATTTCTTATATTTTCTCTCGTTTAAGCCTCTTCTTTCCTGTATACATCGTGCACTAAATACTCCACAATCTGACAAAGAGGATGGTTAAAGGAGAGGTACGAATCTGCACTGCACTAAATTAATGTTAGAATGTATAAGGATCAATCAGATATTCCTGTCAAATGCTCTGGAATTGAAATTAGGTGCATGTCCTCCGCAGTTTCTATAGGATCCACTCCAGTTTTACTAGAAAAACGTATATATTCTTTACCAATTTGTGGAACCTAGCGGGTTAATATAAAGGTTCAGACTCGTAGTAGGTGATGAGAATTATAATGTAGCCAAACCCATAGGCATACCACAGAATACGAATCCTAAAAGGAGTGCAAATTTGTATTACAATTGCCTACTTTGCCACATTTATAATTCAATAACTTACGTTATATGGACCAGAGAAATCACATAGGGGAATTGCTGTTAGTATCATATTCTTTCAATGTATTATACTTTACATCTGTTCTGATATATTACAGAAACTATACTAGTCAGTATGATCGGTAAACCCACAAGGGTACAATAAATACATTTTTGCTATTTCTACATACTCTCAAGTTTGTGACTCATGTATGCACAATTCAGGAAGTGGAAACTGTAAAGTTAGAGTATCAGAATTACAAAAGAGCATCTCGTATCAAGCGTGCCATTACACGAGAAGAAAGTCTACTAAGAATCTCGGGAAGAACCTTAGCCGAGAAGCCTGGAAGAACTGGGAGAATCTCCTGGATCACTCTAGGAACAGTTGCTCCCTCCAAACCCTGAGAAAGAAATATAGTTATGATTAGAGGTGGCAAAATGGTTAAAAGAAAATAGTTATCCACCCATATTATCCATTAAGAAATGGGTTGGATAATGAACTTTTTAAAAACGGGTCGAATATGGATAAGACCCATATTATCCACTTAGAAAATGGATAACCAATGGATAACTAATGTGTTTAGCTTTTACATTTGTAAAGCCTCAAATTGGGGGTTCCTCAAGTTTGGGAGACTAGGAATTCTCCCATAAGTGATCATATTCAAGAAGCCATGGATAATATGGATATCCATATTATCCGACGGATACCCATTTTTATCCCTCTAAAATACGGGTCGGGTCAAATAATTTATCCCTTTTTGAATTACCCGTTTTCGACCCGCTCATATCCGACCCGACCCGTATGTTTGCCACCCCTAGTTATGATGCTTTTACAGTAGATAACCTATATTAAATAGCAGCACTTTAGTTAACTTGAGCTATTTTTGTCCAAGATCCGGTACACCTTACATATTCAACCGATGTTGCTTGGATCCTTGGCGCCGCACCCATGTCAGATCCCCCAAAAAGGCATTACTTTTGGAGAATCCAACACACATCCGGCGGTATTTTTTGAGAACCCGAGTAACATAGTATATACAACATCAACAAAACGAAGTTACTTTGAATCTAAGTTCCCCATGAGTTCGAATTCAGATATACTGTAATATCACTAATTAGCGTTTTAGATCAGTAAGACTTAAAATATTGTTTTAACTTCTCATGCATATATAATCCATTTTCCATGGCCAGTGTACTCTGGTATATATTTTGTCTTTTTCTTTAACCTGCTTGTGAAATGTTATGATAGCCCAAGCTAGTTATGGTTTTTAAACCAATAAATTATCAATGAAAAGTTGACTCTAGCACACTCAGAGGAGCTAAGATTTCAGGAGACACATCTAAAACATTTATGGGAGTAGGAAATCTCAGAAATTTCTGTCAGCACATGATTTTAAACATCGGCTTTGATGAGTCTGAAGCAAGAATCCTAGTCTTCGGGGATAATGTCTCTCGCACAATATCACTATACACTACCACCCACAACGGCCACAATCACAAACAAAGAATTCTTTTCCATGTAGATACCAAGGTTACCAATTATCAATTCATAATGAAACAGGACCTTGGTAACATGATTTAATGCTTAACTAACCCAACTTGTGCAGAGCAATAGCAATTTGTCTGCCCACAGAGGTAAAAACATCGGAGCAAACCTCTTTTCTTGTGTTGTGTGCTGAGAGAATTACTTAATTCTTCCTAGGAGATAACTTGTCATAGAATAAAATTGAAATACCTGGTTTGATGCAGTCCCAGCAGTTAAGAATTGAACAACTTTTTGAACATTGTTTAATATGACTCTGTCCTCCTCAGTTACTGATGGTACAAGTGCAGCAGGTTTAATAGGTACGAAAGCAGGAACCATACTGAATACTGGAATTGCATTTTGAATTCCAAGGAATGCCATTATTTGCACCATCTGCTCCCTTGTTAATGCATCGATACCCTTCACTATCTGCTTGCATGAGAAGAAAATTATGTTGTTGAAATCCCAGACAAATATGGTCCCACTAAATATTATCATATAAGAACAGATGGGACTTTTGACAGCACTTTCTTATGATCTTCTGATAACCGAGACCGGGATTTCTAATATTGGTTCCGTATTATGCATGAGAGAGAAAATGGAATCAGCTACTACACAGAAAGCATACTGAGGAATATATTTAGGTAATGGTTCAGACATACAGGACAAGAAAGCAAGTGCATCTACTAGACATTACAGCAAAGCAAGTGGTCAATTGAAGTACATTTGCAAAGCAGATGCTACTCATATCACTACACTCAAATCAAATTAAAACTTCCAAAGTCACAAATGACTATCTTACTTTTCTGTCCTAAAGGTGTATTCACTTTCCTGAAAGGGAAAAGTTTCCAATATACCGTTCAATAACTTTTCGGAATCCTAGTAAAAGAAAATGTCAATTGGACTCACTTCTATGCAGAACAGGGTTAAATTCCTAAAGTAAATTTTAAGCACCCAAGGGTGTGGCCTAGTGAATGAAGTGGGTTGAGAACCATGAGGTCTCAGTTCAAATCCTAGCAGAGGAAAAACGCTAGGTGATTTCTTCCCGTCTAGCAAGGATTGGTGGACGAAATTATCGGGTAACTGAGTCGGTGCGAGATAGCAGGTATCTCGTAAAATTAGTCGAGGTGCGCGCAAGCCGCAAACTAACCCCGAACGCCACGGTTATAAAAAAAAAGATCCTAAGTAAATTTTATCTCCAGTTTTGAATCTGCCATTAATCAAAAACTACAACAAAACTTTGACTATTGCCCTAAAATCATGCGTAGTCAAACTACTACACTAAAAATGGGTCAGGAGCATGAATGTCTGATTAGAATATGAATTAAGTATGCGACTAGAAAGAACATCATCTGTCAAGGAGACAATAGTGACTGTTCTCAAATCTGTGCACATACCTCATCCAAAAGGAATTCACGGAAAAAATTTCCTTTATCAGAGAGCAGAAATGCTAATGCAGCTCTGGTTTGAACTCGCTGATCTGCCTGATAAGCACTTGAAGGAAAAGGAATAATGCTATTTGTTTGACTTTGCAGAATGCCAAGCTCTGCCATTCTCCCATTCAAACTCTCCCCACCTCCGCTCTTAGCTGCAGTTATGAAATTCTCAAATGCTTGCATGACATCTATGAATCTTTCAGCATCAAACACACCAGATTTCCCATATATTGTGTACCGTAAAGCATTCCGTAACCGTGGAGATTCATCCGTTAGCAGTCTCTGCAGAAAAGGAAATGCACATAGTATAAACAATGAGAATACAAATTATCTAAAAGTGATACCTGAAGGAAGGAACTAAATTTTGCAGAGCTAAATCATTGAATAAATCTCCTCCAAAGTTTAATCTTCCAGATGAGTTATAGGAGTGTCATTTATCACAAGCGGTGTAGTAGACAAAGGTCCATGCTACTACCTTCGTATAATAGTTTGTCATTTTAATGAATGACAGGGACACAAATTCATCTTGTTGGACGGGAACATGGAACTGACGAACAGGTTCAAATAGATTCACTAACTCCAACAATTTCATGGACTCACATGACAACAAATGGACTGAAAACTTCAACATTACTATTAATATTAATAAAGCATACCATAATATTTGGGGCACTAAAAGGAAACTATCTATTGAACATCTCAATCTCACAGTAAAATTCAGGAGTCGAAGAGTCTGTTTCAGCAAAGGTCCTCTATCATAAAGTGATTCATATGTTATACGTTTCTGCTGTCTACCTACAAAAGTTAATTTGTCACAAGATAGTGACCCCTCCATCTCAAATTGAATATCCCACCATTGATCGGCATGAGTGTCAAGAAGAGCTAAAAATGTATATTATTCTAGTGTTAAAAGGCACAATATGTGGTGTTTGGGAGTGATTTTCTAGCTTGTAAAGAACAGAAAGGGAAAAGAGTCATGAAAAACAAAAAATATGGGTCCCATGTAAAATCTTTATCTCATAGAATAATAATGGCTTAAGGTTTCTTCCATTGAAAATGACCAATTCATAAGATGGACAAAAGAGGAAGATGCAGAACACATATAGGACCAAAGGAGTAACATATTGGGAAGTACTTCCTGCTTATATTAGTACCAGACTTAAATGAGCTCTACAACCCAAATTTAAACTATTTTGAGTAAAGCAGGAATTGTATAAGCAGGATAAAGACATTATCAATGGTGTTCGACAGCCTCCCATGTAAGACCCAAATGCATAACCAAATTTAGTCTTCAAGATTAGTATGTTGCAATTGTGAAACAATGCTATCAGCTAACATTGCAATACGCTTGCAAAGATGGCAATCGTTGTTTCAAGCAATTATAGCAATCTGAATCCATGTAAATGAAACAATATGAGGATAAATGAACTATGGCACAGTATGCGTGTACCTGTGCTATATATGGATAAGCTTCATCCACAATAGCAAAATCGGAGTTTCCCACCAACGCAATGCCCTCCAGCACGCCTATTGCTCGAATTATTAAAGCAAAATAGGGTGGTATTCTAAATGGATAATCAAATGTTATTTGTGCCAAATCTGCTGCCAGCTCTTGAAAGTTGAGATTTTTTGCTCCCCCACCTTCAAGTGCCTGATCAAAAACTTTGGCAAGNCTTCACTCATCAGTTACCAGCAGTGTATTAAAGGAATTGCAGACATAATGTGCACTAGCAGAGAATGAAACTAATATCCAACCTTGTAGAATAATTATTAATTTGCAAGTCATGATAAGAAGAATCAACAATAAACTACTGCTCAGGAAATTCCCAGATGAACGTCAACTTCCATGTCCTGTAAATCCAGGTTAAGATCTTCCATGCAAGAGAAAAACTGGGTTACGCCTAACCAAAAAGGTTATACACTAAGCAAGATATTTGCCTACAAAAATGGTATACTGATCAAGGCAGGTGAAGTATCATGTGGTACTATGCACATGAGCGTGGACCCTCAACCTATTAACTCGAGTACTCAGCAATTGGACATTCTCTATGACTCTTCCATTACAGCATCCCAATGAACAGCAACTTAAAGTGCCACGAAGCCTTTTTTTCTTGTTCTCTGAAACGGTAATAATTAAGTGCCATGAAGCACTAAAGAGCCAATGACATTGAAATGCTTTCATGTCGTTCTTGTTAAATGGGATCTCACAACTGTAGCTCATACAGACACAGATGGATTAACAGCTGGAGAAGTTCAGAATCTAGAGCAATGTACGACCGTGTAACAAGTTGCAAAGGCCAAATCAAATTGAGTTCCAAGGAAACTGAAGGTAGTTTGTCAATAGAGTTCTTCATCAAAAAAAAAATAAAAAAATTCATGAACTACTCTATAAAATATAGGGGAAAGAGGATGCCAGATGAACCTTCTTACCAAAGTCAAGTATAGCTAGCTTTCCATCTGGCGTACGTATTAAGTTCCCTGGATGTGGATCCGCATGGAAGAAACCAGTGTCAAGCAACTGGATGCCAAAAGGACAAAATATAAGATGGAGAACAAATTATAATTGTCAAGAGGGATATCTGTAGAAAAAGTACTAAATAGCTCAATCTGGAGAAAAAGAGGATAAGGCAGTAAAAACCAGCAAAATCAAGGAAACAAGATCTAAATGTTTTTTCAGGATATGAAACTCAAAAGTTTAGTTAATATTTTGACATAAATTGTTAAGGGTTTAAGCGTTGCACCTGCTTAAGGTAGCATATGACTCCAACATTTACCAAATCACCTACATCACTTGCTGTGCTTTGTGATAGCTTCTCTCCATCAACCCATCCTGTTGTGAGAACCTTCCTTGAAGTATATTTGCTATATGTCTTAGGGACAACAACCTGTAAAAAGGTTTCCAATACAGGTCACAACATTGTTAGAGACAGCAAGCATCATAATTTCCTTTTAAAGAAATCTGTACTTTCAATTCGTTAAAGATATATAGACATATATGTACCCTTCTGCGAGTAAGTTCACAGACTTCTCTTTATCAAAGGTAATAAATTGCACATTGCTGGTTAGAGACAAAGTTCCTGTTTCTTATTCCCTGGAGAGATTGGAGGGTTATCCTCCTCTCTTTCTCACTTAATTTATTTTCTAATATTTTCTGGTGCTTATTTGTTTGGGGCACTGTGGGGTTGACATCAGAATTGCAGATACCTGAGGAAGGTCTTTTTTCATCATCTCAGCGAAAAGTGTTCCATTTTCCCCCTCATTCACATAATCAAGTTCTTCGAAGAAGCGGGCAGCCCATTCGTCCACCAATCCAACCACATCAATGGAAATCTTAAAAGCAGAAGCAACAAGCATTATTTCTTCCAGACCAACAAAGATAACAAAATAATGGAGAAATAGTAAATGAATAATCAATACCTGGGGAAACTTGCGAAGAACTAACCCCAAGTTCCGTATGATGAATAAATCAACTGTCACTGTCTCAAGGACAAAAGGTCTCTGTACTTTAACAGCAACCAAGTCTCCATTCTCTTTCAGCCGACCCTTATACACCTGTCCAAGGGATGCTGCCAATGCCATAATGAAGCAAAAGAGAAAAGATTCTTAATAAACTAGCGACTTAACATTTTAAAGAAGAAAAAAGTACAAGAAGAAGCTCTCACATTTAAGTTAACCCAACAAGAAGAGGATGATTGAGGAAATACATAGTGAAAATGAAGAAACAATTCAAAGAGCATTATCCAAAAAGAGAGTTTAGAGATGATAACAAAGATTACCAGCAGCAATTGGGGATGGAGAAAGCTCAGAATAAATGTTGTTCCACGGCTCTCCCAATTCCTCCTCAATAAGGGCCATAGCTACATCATCTGGAAATGATGGAACCTGAAGTAACCATGAAAACCTAAAGGTTCAGAAGGTGACAGTAAAGCTTGTTTTCAATTACACTATTTTGTCATTCGACAGTAAAGAAATATGTCAAATCTGACCTTATCACAAAGCTTCTGCAGCTCAGTCATCGCAACAGGTGATAGTATATCTGGCCGAATACTTAATGCTTGCCCTAGCTTTATGTATGCTGGACCCAGCGATGTTACAATCTCCCTCAACTCAATTGCTCGAGCAATCTCATTCTAATGATTGGGAAAAAAGCCATAGTCATGGGATGAGGAAAACAATTTAAAAAAATGTGGTACCATTTTAAATGAATGCATCAGAGCTCTATTTCAATGTTCACCAAACAACTGTTCCAACTCATTGAACTCTCTTTGATGACATAAAGAAGATTACCTATTTCCTAATGGAATTTCATAATGTTAACTAGTTCTACTAAAAAGTTACAGGGTCCCATCACATCCTGGTTCCTGGTTTTCTTTTATTTCCTACATTAATAGAGGGGCAATGACTCGAGCGGACCAAGCAAATTCGTTAATGTCACTGGTCTATTCCGCTTTTAGGAAATAGGAAGGCTCAAACCAAAATAATTACTGCTTAGCGACCATTTAAAAAAGAACGAATTTGAGCATTATTGGTGTTAGGACTCTATCAATTAGGGGTCGTTTGGTAGGGTGCATAAGAATAATGCTGAATATGGTGTATTAGTAATGCTGGTATTAGTTATGCTGACATATTTCTTATCTATTGTTTGGTTTGATGTATTAAAGCATTACACAATTTCTAAAAGAATTGTTTGTTTACAAAAATGCCCTCAAAACCAGTCCATCACTCTAACTTTTTAAAAGAAACATATGTTGAGAAATGTTTTTATATGAAAAAGTTTAAAAAAAATTATTTGATTTGTCTACCTATATTGTAATATAGAACTAAATATTTATTTATAAAAAAGAAAATATGCTAAGTATTTATTTATTTACTAGGGAATAATTTTATTTTTCACAATTTGGATTATTTAAACTTGCATTAATATGATAACAAGCATATTTTAATAAAGCATAAATTTTGAAGGACAATTTTGTCTTTAACTAAGCTAATGCATGCATTAAAATCCATTGCATTGCTAATACCATGGTTTTCTATGCATTAGTTATGCATAGGATAACACCAAATAGAATGTATAACTAATGCTTGCATAACTAATGCATAGGTTCAAAATATCTACCAAACAAGGTATTATTAATACACAAAGCTAATGCATGCATTATTTTATCTAATGCATCCTACCAAACGACCCCTTAGTGTGTTACACCATGTTCCCGCCTTGTGACATGTAAAATTCTGAATTACAATTTAACACTTTAACCTAAAAATTCATTTTGATTTTCATTTCTTTGCCACGATCACATTTCTCAGTATCAACATATCCTTGTTCTTGTTAGGTCCCGTAGAGAACATTTACCTTCAATTACCAAATGAAGCTATGTAGAGAGGAGATTTAAAAAGAACACAAAAGAAGCTTAAAATGTTTGAATTTGAATGAAGAAATGACATCAGTAAAAGGTCGAAATATTAGCTCCTTGTCAATCATCCAATCAAGACTACTACAAAAATGGAAGAGTGTCAGACTTCTATTCAAGCACTGGCTGGCAGCTAATCTTCAGGAGGGGCCTCAATGACTGGGAAGTTGATGAATTTTCTCAATTGATGCAATTATTGGATAATGTAAGATTGGAGGAAAACAGGAGAGACTCATTAATCTGGGCATCAAGTAATGATGGTATTTTCACAGTCAACAGTTGTTATAGCTTGTTACAAAAACAACAAGGGCTTTATCAATCAAATTGGCCATGAAAAGCAATATGGAAGTCAAAAGCACCTATTAAAGTAGCCTGTTTTGGCTGGATTACAGCAAAGGAAGCTTTTCTAACTCAGGAGAACTTGAAGAAGAGGGGTTTTGTTCTATGTAACAGGTGTTACATGTGTGAAGAAGAGGCAGAAACAGTCAATCATCTACTCATCCATTGCAGAGTGGCAAAACAGTGCTGGGAGCTCTTCCTAAATATATATGATGTCAAGTGGGCAATGCCTTCCAGTGTAAAGAGTTTGTTGGAGACATGGCAACAACAAAAAGTGGCAAAAAGTCAACAGATAATATGGAGAACAATTCCTCTATGTGTGTTCTGGACAATGTGGTTGGAAAGAAACAGGATTTGCTTTGAAGGGGAAAGGCAGCATGTATCCAGGATTAAAAACAGATGCTTATTAAAGTTGTATTTCTGGTGTAAAAGACATGTAATGGAAAATATGGATTTTCTAGAGGAGCTAGGAGGAATGTAGTTGCTTTGCTGTATTAGTTTGGATGTTTGTAATTTTGTACCATCTTGGTACCTTTTAATAAAATCTTACCTTATAAAAAAAAATCCATCTTTCAGAAGCATAGTGAACCACACAGCACCCACAGGTATAGGATTTCAAAAATTATACCGTTACGAACAAATTAAACTACATGCTCGTATGTATCTCTACATGCAATTCACTAACTCCAGGAAAAATGGATAAGCACCTAGTGCAACTTACCTCTTTAACCTTCTTATTTATCACGTCCCAGGCAAGACGCGAAAGAAAACCTCCAGCAACAGATGTTAGCTGGACTATACGGGTAGCAACAGCACGTGGCCGTTTACCCCAATATGCAGAAATGCTCTTAGGATCATAAACCAAGGGCAAGAACTCACTGCTCTCATCAACCTGAAGAATTTAAAGATAAGAAACATATTACAATACATGTTGTTTTGCCAAATGACATCTTTTCCAAGCCAAAAGAGAAAGAACTTTAGATAAAAGGGAAATATCCATTAATATTTTTCCAAGCCAAAAGCTAAAAATCTTGAGATACAAGGAAAATATCCGTTCATATTGAAGATCCAACTCCTTGAGGCAGCTTTAATGATTCAATCAACTTGGACTACAATAACCATATTAGTATAAATTTAACTGTAATAGTCTTCACATTTGTGGAACCATAAATGACTGCAAAGCACCTTCTTTTGTATATAATTACATGAAATTCAGAACATAGTTGTTTCCAAGAGAACTAGAGATTAGGTACTATATGAAACCACACTAGAAAAAATCTTGATTCCAGAGACCATCAAAAACTAGTGCTTTTTTCCTCTGTAGGGATAGTCATCAAACTCCATTGCTTCTATAATATTTCAATCGACTATTTGATGGCAGGGAGAATCAACACCTTATGAATGTTCATCAATTGCACTAAATAGCTAGTTTCCCCTAGGCACAATGACTTGACTAAGGTCAAATATCCTACACTAATGAACCTGCCCACAAAAATTCATGAATGATCAGTTTCCTTTGATCTCTCAAAAGACACATCCACATCTACAAATTATTAATACAGAGACTTCATGTCATCTTCTCATCACAATAAGAATGTGAAATTATCATCACCCAAGACCCTTCACAAGCATGAAAGTTCGAATAAATATACTTTGATAAGGAAGTCAAATAAACGGACCTCCACTAGACGAAGCTCAATGTTATCATCAGCAAACAAGGAATCTTTCAGGTTTTGACCTCGAAGCCCCCTCATGAGTATGGCTAAGTCCTCATTTTCTTCCATTTGTGCTCTCACTCTTTTGATCTCTTGTGATACATCCTGCATTCTCTGCAAACCCACAAATATAAAAGTTCAATCAGCTATCAGCCAAATATCAGTATACTACTCACACCTACAATTCCATCTGAATAAACCATGTAATATTTTCTTTCTTATTACTTTCCAAAAAATACTATATGACTCAATAAACTTCCATCTAATCAACTTTTTTCTTGTAGATATCAGTGGAAAGGAAAAACTTTTTTTTTTTGGCCAGAAAGAAAATCTTCTTATTGCTGAATTAGTTAATTATTTTTCCATGTAAGAATACTAAGTTGAGTTTATTACCTTTCTTAATCCAAGTGTCAAATGTGAAATTTTGTCAAATTAAATAAACAGCGGGAGTACTGATAAAAAAATAATAACAACAAGAATTAACAAATAAATAATAAACATACACTAGTGAAAGTGGAGTAATCTGCAGCTTATTTTATTTCTCTAATTTTAAATTATTCTACCACTTCCTGAGCAGCCAAACAAAAATTAAGTCGGCAATCAGTCAAACATCAGTATATAACTCACTCCAATAAACCTATTTCAATAAACCATGCTTGCATGCTTTCTTATTACTTTCCAGAAAGAAACTATATAGAACTCAGTGAAGTTTAAACTTTATAAATAAAAGAAGCATTTTTAACAATCTTTTGGGTTGATATCAGCTTTAAAATATCTTCTTCACACTGAATTAGTTAATTTATTTCCATAGTAGAAAAAGAAGTTGGCTTCATTTCACAAAATTGAAGGTACATTTATTAATTTAAAGGACAAATGTGGAAATTTGTTTAATTAAATAAATAGGAGTAATGAATATTCTTTATATCGTCAGTGTCTAAACTTTAACTCATAAATTAAAAATTGAATTTGCATAACCTACTGTAGAAGTAGAAGCACCATTGACTGGCCTAGGAACGCCGTTGACCGGCTTAGAAGTCGTCTTTGACTCCGACGGCTTAGGTTCCGTCGCAATTGCCCGAACGGCGCCGTTTTTTCGCCGAATCCTCAACTTCTTCGATGACGATGATGATGAAGAAGAATAGAGACCACGAGAAGGCAGTGAAGAGCGACGCAGAGGATCAATTCTGCCGTAGACCAGCTGTGAAGCTGCGTCCATTATAGCAGAATCAAAGCTTCAAAAAATTATACAAAATGTATATAAATATACAAATGTATATGTATGTATAGATTTTTTTGTGTGAAGCTTGAATGCACAGAATTTATCAAATTTTATTTCACTGTAAGAGTGAAGAGGGAGATTGTGGGGGAGTAATATGGTAGTTGAAAAGGCAGACGTGGAAGAATGTGGAACAAGGAAAATTTGTTTGGAATTGAGGGACTATAGTGCAATTTTATTTGGCGGGATCTATGTACTATTCTCCGCCGTTCGTTTTTTTGGAGGATTTGCTTTTTTGGTCCTTTCTTTGCATTTTTGTTGATTTTTTAGTTCTCTATTTTTTTATGCCACATTATTTCATGTGGACAACAATTTACCCCTTTAAATAGTTTTTTAATTTTTTTTTGTCTTGCCTAAATTATGGTGAGAAGTTTGATATTTTGTTGAATATTTGCTTCAAATTTTGGCCAAGAGTGTCACCTAAAAAAGTGAGATGTAACTTCAACAATGTAACCCTTTTTTCCTATCGTCTTATCACATCAACAACAAATCTCTACAACAATAAATAAAATCAAATAAAAATAATTAAACTATTCAGTACCATTCACTTATTCTAAATCCAACATGATGCAAGTACATATGACTCGTCACTATAGGGGCCTATCATAAATATTTTTCTCATTTCTTATTCTTCTTTTAATTTCATTCATGCATAGTTACTATTTCACATTTTATTTACCTCCGCTATTCATCTATCACCTTTAACTACTTTGTGATTATTATTTTTATTCGTGGATTCAAGCTATATTATCATTTCAAAGTAGATTTAAATTATTCAAAATAGTGAAAAAATTAATTTTGGCTGTATTTTTTGTGGTATAAGTATTCGAGACTACTAGACGACGAAAATAAAAAAATTTACTTACTATTGTTCTTTAAAATATTGCATAAATCTTTATGAGCAAAGTTACCAACTAAATGCAACATAGTCTTAATACTATTATCATAAGAAAATATCAATTAAAAACACATACAAATTTTATTAAATAGGTTAATGCCTCTTATTAAGATACTCTCACGTATTTTTTAAGCTAAGCCAAGCCGCTGAAATGAAAACAAAATTAAAGTTTCTAAACACGTCAAGTTACATCCAATCACACCAAAGTACAAGCTTTTAAGAACATGGCACAAACTTTTTCTGCATGCATTTATCTAGCCAAACAATAATGACTCTGTCAATGCACCAATCCTCCTAAATAATACAGTAATAGTAATAATAATAATAATAATATATTTTAAAAAAAGAGAACTCTTATATTTCTCATGCTCTCCTTTTTTTTTATCCTTCTTTTACCTAAGGTTTGGCCCTAAGGAAAGAAAGCTCCAGAGAGAGATTTGCTGTGGTGAGGGAAAATGGATAGGTACCAGAAGGTGGAGAAGGCAAGAAGGGTAGAGGAACCGATAAAGGAAAATGAGATCAGAGTCACTGCTCAAGGTCTTATTCGTAATTACATTAGCTATGCCACCACTCTTCTTCAGGTACTTCTTTTTTTGCTTAATTTCTTCCATTTGTTGCTTGTTTTGAGTGTATTTTCATGTGGGATTTTGTAAAGATTACAACTTTATGATGTTTTCTTTTTGCTATGTTTGCGTGATTGAATATGAGTGTATTTTCATGTGGGGTTTTGTAAAGATTTCAACTTTATGATGTTTTGTTTCTGCTATGTTTGTGTAATTGAATTTGAGCTTAGTTTCATCTGGGGTTTAGTAAAGATTTTAACTTTATGATGTTTTCTTTCAGATTTTGTGGCTTTTGGAGTGTTGAAGTATTTTCAACATTTGAGTTTGTAGTATTTTTCCTATCTTGTAAAGTTTCTATTTTATTACTTTTTTTTCCTTTTTTGCTTAATTGTTTTTCCATTTGTAGCTTGTTTTGAGTGTGTTTTCTTCTGGGATAAAGATTTCAACTATATGATGTTTTTGGTTCAGTTTTTGTGGCTGTTGACATATTTTCAAATTTGAGTTTGTAGTATTTTCTATATCTTGTAAAGTTTCTATTGTTTTTGGTCCCTTTTCTTTGTCCTTTTACAAGTGTGGTGAAGAAGATAAAAGAAACTTTTTTTCCCCCCTATATTTATGTTTAATTATTTGAGCCTAGTTTCATACCGAGATTAGGAAAAGTTTCAAATTGATGTTGGGTTTTAGTTTCTTCTTTTATTCTTGGTGGCATTTCAGTGTTGAGTTTGTTTTGATAATTAGGGAAGATCAGTCCCAAATGGTTAAAGATGGATTTTCTATTAGTTTGTAGTCGTTTCCAAGTCTCTGATAATTAGGGCGTAGGATTCCAACTCAATGTCTAGACTTGATAGATTTTTGATATTGCCCTCCTGGGATGAGCTGGTGCCCAATGTGCTGCAGATTCCATTACCTAGGCTGACTTCGGATCATTTGTCTATCTTGCTATATGGATGCAGAGGGAGGGGGGGCGTGCTCCTTTCCGATTTGAGAACATGTGGTTGAAAGTGCCAGGATTTGATGACAAAGTGAAAGAATGGTGGACAAGCTACGGGGTATCAAGGACACCTTCATTCCGTCTTTCAAAGAAGCTTAAATTGTTCAAGGGAGATATTATTAGGTGGAATAAGGAGATTTTTGGAAGGGTAGAGGTTAAAATGAGGGAGCTTATGCACGAATTGGGGGAGTTAGAGAGAGGGGAAGGGGCGAGGGAGCTAGATGAATCTGAGAAAGCGAGATTGGGGGAGGTTAAGAGGGAAATAGCCGAGTTAGCAATAGCTCAGGAGACTAGTTGGCGGCAAAAATCGAGGGCGCTCTAATTAAAGGAGGGGGATTCGAATACCAAGTTTTTCCACAGGGTTACGGTTGCAAACTGAAGGAGAAATTTCATAGAGTCCTTAGTTGTAGATGAAGTGAGGATTGCGGGAGAGGAGGACATAAAAGGGGCGATAGTGGGGTTTTCAACTGTGCAGTAGATGTCCATTATGTGAAGAGCATCCGGAAGAAGTTGGCCATCTCTTCTTGCATTGTAGGGTCACCAGGTAGCTGTGCAATATGTTTCTGGTAATTTTGGGCATGAGTTGGACCATGCCAAAATCAATTGTTGAGCTCTTGCAAGGTTGGAGCAGAGAGGGAATTAGTAAGAAATCTCTAAGAACTTAGAATACCATACCTCAAGCCATCTGGTGGATTGTCTGGCTTGAAATAAATAATAGAATTTTTGAAGGCACATCGAGCAATATTCACAGCCTTAAACGGAGATGTATTTTTTTTGTTAGCTTTTTGGTGCAATCTGGTAATTGAACATGATGTAGATGGAATGCTAGATACAATAGTGGGTTTGCACAACCTGTAATTATGCCTGATGCACTGGCTTAGTGCATAAATTTATAATATCTTTAATTAATTATCAAAAAAAAAAAGTATCAATGCTTCTTTTATTACTATTGTGCCTAAGAAAGAAGATGCATATTGTATTAGAGACTACAGGCCTATTAGTCTCGTGGGGAGCATTTACAAGATTATTTCTAAAGTGCTCTCCAATAGACTCAAGAAGGTTCTTGACGTGTCTGTTTCGTCATCCCAGAATGCGTTTGTGGAAGGTAAGCAGATCCTGGACGCTGCTTTGGTGGCAATTGAACTTGTAGACTCCAGGAAAAATAGAGAACCCGGCTTACTATGCAAGTTGGACCTTGAGAAGACTTTCGACCATGTCAATTGGGAGTTCCTGGATTTCATTATGATGCGGATGGGGTTTGGGGTAAGATGGAGGGGATGGATCAAGTTCTGCATTTCCTCAGTTAGATTCTCTGTCTTGGTTAATGGTAGCCCATGTGGTTTCTTTGGCAGCTCCAGGGTTCTCAGTCAAGGTGACCCCCTACCCCCACGCTATTCATTCTAGTGATGGATGCTCTGAGTAAAATGATGGATCGTGCGGCAGGCGAAGACTTCTTGAGAGGATTCTCAGCTCCGATCGGGGTGCTCAGTGCCCAAAGAGTCTCTCATTTGCTTTTTGCGGATGACACCCTTGTTTTTTATGATGCCGATATGGATCAGTTGACCTACCTGAAACAGGTCCTGCAGTGGTTTCAGATAGTATCAGGACTCAAAATCAACCTCGGCAAGTGTGAGATTTTCCCGGTGGGTGAGGTTGCTAATATTGGTGCTTTGTCTTATGTTCTCATATGTAAGGTGACTTCTCTTCCCACTACTTACCTAGGTTTTCATTGGGTGCTTCGCATAAGGATACTACGGTTTGGAATCCAACGATCGAAAGGGTTGAAAAAAGATTAGCAGGTTGGCAGAAACGATACTTGTCAAAAGACATTAAGGAAGTGCTTATTAGCACTTTATCGAGTATGCCCACCTATTACTTGTCCTTGTTGCAAGCTCCTGTGAACATAACAGAAAAGTTCACAAAAAAACTGGAGCGACTTCAAAGAATTTTCTTTGCAATGCGGCGGATGGAACTAGAAAGTTTCATCTAGTGAATTGGCAGACAGTCACTTTCCCATAGAAGTGGGGTGGACTTGGAATAAAAGATCTTAGGGTATTCAACAGAGCTTTGTTGGGGAAGTGGCCGTGGAGATTCGGGGTAGAAGAGCATGCTCTAAGGAGGGAGGTCATAGTAGATAAGTACGATTCCACGGGAGGGGGTTGGAGGACCAAGGCAATCACAACACCTTTTGGGTGTGGCATGTGGAGGAGCATCATGAAGAATTGGGAAGCCTTCAATGGCAACATCACTTACAGGGTGGGACATGGAAGGAGAATCAGCTTTTGGAATCATACGTGGTGTGGAGAGGATACTCTGAGGGTTTCTTTCCCCACGTCTTTAGAGTTTCAAATCAGAAGGAATTGATGGTCCAACAGATTCGCAAGGAGCATGAAGAGGGGGTAGTATGACACCTCTTATTTAGAAGGAACATGCAAGATTGGGAGATTGCGGAGCTCCAAGATTTGTTGGCACTGCTATATGGGCAAGACATGCCCTAACCATCTTGTGATTCGTGGAGATGGTTTGTTCACCGTAAAGTCCTTTTACCAGAGTATGTTGGTGAGAGAGGAGGCCATTTTTCCATACTCCTCGATCTGAATTCCTAAGGCTCCCATGAAGG